ACTAGGTACCTGTAATTGCAACTTTCGTTGTTAATATTCAATTGTGACTACTCTGAAGCATAAGAGTGTTGGGTTTGAAACAGAACAATCGCGGTAGAGGAAAATGAACCAGAAAGTGGCATTATGAATGGCATGAAGGCATGCTTCAACAAACTCACACATTATCAATAGCATATCATCATAATCAAGATTTTCCTATTACAGAGTCAAAAGCGACATCAAACATGTAAGCAGTAACGGAAGTAAACTATTCTTGCTGATGCTGGTAATCGGAAAGAAACAGAGAACGGAAAATGTAGATGACATAATAGTGGTACTTACTTTTTCTTATCAATGTTGGGAATGTCACTTCTCTCAGCCTTCTCAACAATAACCTTACAACAGCAAAAGAACAATATCAATAGAAGCAAGATAAGAAAGGAATCACTAAACATAATTTTAAATTCTTGCCATTTTAGTGGATACCTTTTCATTTGTACAAATAATATATAAACTACATAATAACATAAATAACTGAAGCAGCCTTCAAGCATATCACTGATGACGATATCTGAATAGAAGCTCGAAAGAAGTATAGCTGGTAACTGGTATCTTTTTGTCACTGGTTTGTTCCGACTGAGAAAATATTTCGGCTTCTGTTCAACACTATGTATATTTTTAACAACGTAGTTCCCAAGCTAAGAATCCTTTTCTTTTTTTTTTTTCTTTTTTGGTATTACAGAATTCACCTCAAATTAGATGAATAAAGCCTTTCCAATATCTTATGTACTGGCCAATACTACTGACAATCTAATCCAAATAAGGTTTATAACAATTAACGAGCTTTATACTTTCTGCAATTAGTATCACATTTTGAAGCATGTCATTCAACTTATATGCTAAAATGGCTAACAAGTGATGTTAAAGGTACACATCTCTTCCAAATGAACCTATCTTATAGTCTTTCTACAAATTGAAGTCATGGGGATATTACTAGATTACACAAATTAATTCGGGTGTAAATTTCAACAGAATACAATGAGACATAAACTAAAAAATATGCAAAAACAAAAAACAAAAAGCAAAAAACAAACCAACAATCAAGAAACATTATTCCAGAGAAGCACAATATAATACAGAAGTGAAAACAAACACAAATAAAATGTAATTTCAAAATAATAGAGGCATATTCTCACAGGAATTCTATCTGGGTATTTATCCCTAATTCTTGCAGCCTCAGCACGCCTCTTCTCTGTATAAACAAAAAAAGGTAATAATCATTAAGCTAAAAATTAATGAAAATTGTCATTTAACTTTAAAACTTGATTAAGCTAATGTGATTATGTGAATGAAAACTCTAGTATATAGGACTTACCGAAGTCATGCTCTTGCTTGAAGACGCTATTCGTCATTTTTCTGCATAACAAGAACCAATCTTTAATTGGGCAATCTAAATAACTATTTTCAAAAATTGAAAACATAAAAACAATCAAGTTTTTTTGTTTTTTTTAGGGGGAGTAAATTAATTAAATACTTTAAAATTAAAAAGGGCAAAAGAAAGAAAGAAAGAAAGAAAAAGTGATGATCACATGAAGTGGATGATCACACGAAGTGGTTGATCACAGAAGCAAAATTAAAGCAAGAAATCAGAACATATGAACAGAAAAGAAATAACTTTACTCAACAGAAGCAAAAATTCAAGCGAAAAAAGAGAAATCCATAATTAAATTGCTTGAGAACCAAAAGAACATATGAAGATCATTTCTTGATTTTTTTTCCCTCTTTACAGGGAAGGAATTAAACAAGAAATCAAGCATGAAAAAAAAAATCAGGAAAAAAAAAATCAGGAAAAAAAAGAGTAAACTTAAAAGCAGTTGATTGAAGACTTACGCAGAAGATTGGAGAGAGAAGGAAGAAGAGAAACAATCAGAAGCGGAAGAGTACTTCTCGGGATAAGAGAGAGATTATTAGAGAAAGAGAGATTATTAGAGAGAGAGAGAGAGAGAGAGGAGTCTCCCATTATTTGTGTAATGCCATCCTAGTTTAATAATGATTTTTGGTTTTCTCTCCGGTTAAGTTGGGTCAAGTATGGTCTGATAACCAATAAGCTTTTGCCATCTCATTACGATCTTTTCCTTTTTTATCAGTACTGTTTTGAAAAGAAACTAAATAAAAGAAAAATTTGCTGAGAAAAAAGATTATATCAAAAAATTAGGTCTATCAATAAAATTAGTAAGTTAAAGAAAACCCAATGTTATATGGATTAACTTTTTGGAAAATTATCTGATATGTCTGGCGTATTAATAGATTAAGTTTTTTTAACTGTTAGATTTACATATTTTTTAATTTTTACGTGATTTTATATAAATTTACACAGATAAAAAAATTAATCTACTGATATATTGATGTAACAAATAAGATCCCTAATTCTTTTTCTTATACCAATATCTCTTTTTCTTTTCCTTGTAAAATTTAAAAATAAATAAATTAAAATCTCAAATTAATAATATCTCTTTTTTTCCCTTGTAAAATTTAAAAATAAAGTAAATTAAAATCCCAGATTGATAATTTTAGATTTTTTCCCGCTAGATTATAAAAACATCTTATTAAAGTGCATAAATTCTTGATAACACGGGGATAGTCATAGTACCTTTCTTGAACTTGAAATTTTTAATTTCAACTTTCTTTAAAAAACAAAGTTGAAAATCTTATTCTTTTCTTTTATGTAAGTTTTTTCTCACTTCAAACATTTATCAGACTTATTTATTTTAAATAATATGAAAAATACAAACTAAAACTAAAACTAAAACAATTCTTCTATCAAAAAATAAAAATAAAACAATTCGTTAGATTCTTAGTCAGTTGATTTTTAAATGCTAGTGTATAAGTTTAAAAACAAGCTGAATATTTTATGGTTAGGTTATTTTTAAGTTTCCTAAATGGTTTTATTTTTCTTCAGAAATAGAATTCCGTTACATTCTTCTGAATCCTAAGCCTTTTAAATATGCAAAACACGATAGATATGATTTAAATATTGGTTAAAGTGTTTTCCCAAAAACAAAATTCATTTAAAACTCGTAGTACTAGTTTTTCAAAAATTAAATTTTGAAGAATTTTTAGTTCACTCAACATAACTAGAAAGTGAGTAACAGTAAAAAAATAGATTATTAAGATTTTTTTTAATACGTTAATATACTGATAAATTAAATTTATTAATTATTAATTATACATAAAATCATATAAAAATTAAAAAAATATAAATTTAACCTCTAAAAAATTTGATCTACTAATACTCTAAACGTGAATCATCCGTACTAATAAATACTAATTAATGAGGCCATCTGCTTTTCTTTCTTTTGTTTGCTGTGGCCGTTTATTAGGTTACGTATCTATCCATCCAATCTATTTCCCTTAATTCTTGTCAAATGGCGAAATTGTCCTCCATTGAGTCCCATTTATAAGCTTACACTGGAGGGCAGTTCTGCGAAATTAAATGGACAACAGGGCCCACCGGCTCACTAGACCTACTATTGTTATTCTTATTGAATAAATTCTTTTTTAAGTTTGTCACTCGTGTTAATATATCTTTTAAAATTTTAAAATTTAAAATATACATGTTATATCTCTTAATATATTTTTTAATTTATAAGATGTGCATGTTGTATCTTTTAAAATTTATCAATTATATCAATATGCTTGGTGAGTGTAACTCCATCAAGTATTTAAGCAAAGATTAGTATTTATGCCGCCTAGGAGTGTGGCACGGGCTCCACACGTGTGGCGGGACCCACAGAGCCTGGGCTACAACTTCATGAGGTTAAAATGAATTTTTTTAAAATAATAGTTCGTTTAGTTCATGAATTATAACCATGAGATTAGAATCATTTTTTATTTACGTGTATTTTTTATGAAAAAAAATATTGTAGCGAACCATGAACCATAATTTGAATCAGAGAACGAATCCTCTAACAAAACGTGCTCTAAATCATTTTTCCAAAATTTAAGCTGTACATAAAAGTGATCAGACTTTAATTTAACAAAAATTATAGTAAATAACAATTTTATGAAACTAAATTAAATAAATAATATATTTTAAAATATTTAAAGTAAATAGCAGTTTAAAGATTTTTTACAATGTAAACGTAAATTTTCTTTGTACAACTTGTAGCTATGTATGTCAAATAATTTTAAAAATTGTTATTTACTTTATTATTTAATTATTTATTGTAAATCTGCTATGTACTTTATTTTCCTATTATTTAATGATCTGGACCTGATCAGTTGATTTAGCCTTTGGTCGTCTGGTGCTTTTCTTTTCTTGGCCCAATATAAAGCCCAAAGAATTTTTGTTCGTTTTAACGGGCCTACAAACCCATCAAGGGCCTCAAGAGGCCATCAGGACGAAAGTGGGACTGTAAAGCCCATTATATGGTATATCTCCAAGCGTATTTCGTTTTCTTGAGTAGTAGTCTTTTCTCTTTATTAACTGGATGGTAATTGTTTATTTTTAAATATAGTGTCATAAATTATACTTTTTAATATTTTGAGTGGTAATCTAGTTTTTTCCCATTATGATTTATGTCATCACATTTGAAGTGATGATACCAAGGTGGATATCATGTTTTGCTTATTAATAAACAATAGATTGTTAGCCAATAATTAAAAAGCAAATAAAGTTAAGGTAACGGGTTGGTGAAGTCATAGTTTATATTTAATTGACGAGGAACATGGCTGGAATTAAATATTATCATTCTATAACTAGCATTGATTAAGCTAATGAGTAATTATATTTACCCCCTAAGTAATATTTGCTCTTTCATATGATGTCTGCCATTGAAAGAAAAAAGGTCAATCGATTGACTTTAGAAAGTTTTTTTTTTTTTTTTTTTTTTTAAATAACAACAATCATAAATCATGGACTATATATAAACAAATATAATAGTTACGATATAAACAAATATAATAGTTACGATTGATTGCTCTCAACTTTTTCTGATACATGCATTTCCCCTTTATGTTTTCATTACATTTTGTTCTCTCATGAGGAGGTGGCGTGCAACCAAAAACTAGAGGCCTATTAGTGCCGTCCTACAAATACTTCCAAACTACCATTTGCAATTTTATGCATTCAAATATGATTTTTGTTATTATTATGAGAAAGTGACAATCTGTCAAGAAAAGATCTGATAAAAGAATAGTTAAATCGTTAGTAGCAGCATGGAAAACCCAATTAGAAAACTACACGATTTTCCTACCGAGTGCCTAAAGACACTGAATAATGATCAAAGACATTAGGCCGCATTGGGAAAGAAATAATGTCAAAAGTGCATTGCAGATCAAAACATGCATATATTAGGGAGAATAAACCAAAACGTGCAATTATCAAGATGTTAAATTTACGTAATCTTTATGAAGCTTCAACTAATTACTACATGCTTTAAGGGGAAAAAAAAACTAAGTTACTTATATATCCCCATGTTTTAAGAATATATTGACCTAACCGCTATATACAAACATGTTTTTTTAACCATTGTGATTACCAATATATATATATATATATACCCATTTGGTTTAATGAAGAGAAATTGTGGATAAACAATGGATAATAGGTTATTTCTTCATGACTTTATATGTTCATCGTGGCATGTCCCCGACAATACAAAGTATGTTGCTTTTTTCACAAATGTGTAATGGAAGGCTGATCATTTTGTTGATTAAAAGACTCTACATCGACGTGGTTCTTTTATTTTTATTTATTTTTAATACAATTAGGTTTTGTTTTAAAATGATTTTCTCCAATCCACAAACTTCACTAGAACAAAACTACAAAAAAAGATGTCATTATAGTTTCACAAAAGCTACATTAGCTTGAAAAAGATTACTTCTGAATGCTGTTTCGGAGGTCAATAACAATACTCAGGACTTGTCGGCAATTCTTGACGTGGTGTTTGCTTGTGGTGTGGGGTGTCTTGAGATGAGAGAAAAGAACATATCAAAACTCTCTTTTGGATTAATATATAATTATATTATGTGTGTGTGTGTGTGTGTATACATATATATATAGATATATAGAGAGAGAGAGAGAGAGAGAGAGAGAGATTGTTTTTTAAAATAAACTTTGAAGCTTTGAATATTAAAGAATTGGAGAAGGAAGCAAAGGAGGGTTCAAATTGTACCAAGTTGAGTCACTTTACACTATACATAACGGGGGGGTTGATGAGGAGAATGAGTTGTTGCGATAACCATCACATGGGGGCAAGAGATAAATTAAGCCCTTCTTTCTGACATGTCCAAATCACGGTTTTCCTAAAGAATTCATTGCAAACCTAAGCATGTCCCCTCCTTCCCTCTCTCATTATTACCCAAAAATTTTAAAACTTTGTCTAGACAATGAAAGCATGCTTCTTAAACTTACCAAATTGTCCACTAAGAGTATGTTTGGTAGGAGTGAGAGATGGAAGGAGGGAGGGAGAGAATCTCCCTTCGGGTTTACCATTTTGGATCCTTCTATTGAGGATCCTTCGATTCAACCAATCTACTTAAATTTAAATAAAATTACTTTTTCACCCTTAAAAATTAGTTATTAAAAAAATAGTAAAATAGACTATATAGTAAGTAAATAAATAATTATCATTCATCATTTTAACTTTTTGTTCATCCAACCAAACAACATAAAGGATTACTATAATACTCTCCATCCTTTCTACTCCTCATCCCTCCTACTCTCCATCCCTCCAACCAAACAGAGTCTAGGGTTTCTATTGTTGTCTCACTCAGAACTTTGCGTTTGGTATAAGGGTTCTAAAACCGGAGTCCATGATTCTGGTTCCAACCTTTGACTGTTTACAAGAAGTAAAAAATGGTTCTTGAAAGCCATTGTTTGGTTTGGATGGTTCTTGTTCAAGGTTTAGACTCTGATGTGATGTTTTAAACCAAAATCACTCAAAAAATAAAACCACCCCTCTCTTAGTTTTGGATGGTTCAAACCACCGGTTCTGATTCCGATTCCGATTCCGGTTCCA